AGGACGCCGGCGAAAGGTGGTTGTGCAAACGAAACAAGCCAAACGTAGAAGTGGCAGCCGTAAAAACGTGAAAACTAACGTATTTGATTTAGGCTTGATATCGCCCCAGCGGCGAACAGTGCGCTAGCAGCGTTGCAAGCGAATAACGCACCGGGTCCGTAGAAAATCTTGCTACACCCGCTGGACGTTGCCTGGCAGAGGCAACGAAACGTTGCGTCAACAAGCATCGGCAAATTTGAAAACAGTGGACGGTATTTTCAAATACCTGCTTTATAAGGACACCCGCATGTGAAATGCGGGGAACTAGAGTTTATTTTGTCATAACGGTAGTAGTGATTATGCATGCAAGACGTATATGCTAGTCTAGTACTTGTAAGAAATTAGCGTTTGGTGCGCATTTGTGAGCCTTTATAGACTTATCAACCGTAAGTGTTGATTATTTTACAATAAACGTGCCAAAGCCAAAGGGCAGCCAACGAAATCTTGTAATTAACACAAAACCAACGACTATAGAAATCACAAACAGAAAATACGTCATAAATATAATATAAACAGAATCGGCAGGACTATAGACAAAAGGACTACAACGGAATAGAAATACAAGCCTAAGAAATTGTAGCCGAATCGGTGAATATCCTCGGACCGTGTAGACAGACAGGATGGCCCATGCCGACTACATCAACTATCGCTATAGAGTAGCACAGACAGATTTATACGTTACGCTATAACGATAACGACGCTGATCACTCAGTCTCCTGCTCCCTCAAACTAGCGCATCTACAAGCTGCGTGCTTAATTGCGGCGGATTAATTAGATGATGTCCCGTGCATTTGTGTTTGATCCAATTATCCGCTCAGCGGGGGGAAAAACGGATATTTTAACATTCAGAAAATCACCACTCGCACGCTATAAATAGGCAACAACTAAGCGAGAAAGAAAGGAGGGTGCACTGTCCTCCACAGTCCACAATAACGCCTCTACCCCCCCCCAACAACAAGCCCCCACAACAAAACCCCCAAACGTCCCCACAACAAACCCTTAAACGTCCCACAACAAACCCCCAAACGTCCCCACAACCAACTCTAATCCCACCAAACTCACATACAGCGTGGTCCCCTTTCCCGCTATTATACTATCATCACCCACTAGCTACAAGTTACGTTCTCGCTTCTCACTACGTGGCTACGTAAAACAGTCGCAGAGTCTGGTCGGGCTAGCGACCCACCGTCTCACCTCAATACTAGACCAAACGCGCTTGAGGAAAATATTAGAGAAATCGAGATAAAAAAAAGTATATGAAAGAGTCAGTGATTGCCCGGGGGTCGTTACCGCAGTATTCGCGTGTTGGGTACATAAAATAATCTGTACTAGCTAGCAGTCTCTACCCGCTAAACAAGAACGGTAGTAATCACAAAAGCACAACAATCCGCCATCACCCAACCATAATAAAACGCCATTTTCTAAGAAGAAGAAAACGGGCATTTTTAGAAGACAGTAGATACTACTGTTATAATGGAATGCAGTGCCGCCTAGAGGGACAGGAACCCAGCGATGAGTTAAACTAAGCGAATACAAACAACTACGTCAGTTTCACTCGATTTCAATTCGCTCCGTGTGTGAATACATTCCGCTCACGCACGCAGCGACGGTGTTGGTAAGTACTATAGGTACTCCAACCACTGTCGATAGCACAGACACTTGGAAATTCGCTGTACACAAACCACGAAATATAGAGACTATATCAAGAGCGTATAATACCTAGCGCACATACATGTATTATTCTTTAGTCTTGACTATATTATATAATACTAGGATTATATAAATATAGACTCTACATTCTTGTTGTTTCTGCCCAGCGGCGTGCGTGAGGTGTACCTGCATGTGTGTTGCAGACGAGGATTTGAACGCCATTTACAGGAAACTCTCGGCAATAATAGGCGAAAGAAAGTAGAGAAACATTAAGACTTTGGCAGTAAATACATTTCGTGTTTATTCACTATCATTTTATTATTGAAACGTTCCAAGTGGTCGATAGCAACCTTTTCACTCAAGCCTATCCTCCACCTCTCCGTGTACAGCAAGGGTTCTTAACCCCTTGGGGGTCCGTGGATGGGCTTTAAGGGTCCGTAAACCAGGCGCATAAAAATGAATTAGAATTTATTTTCGCTAGCTTTTTTTTTAGCTTTTATTTTTGTCTATGTACAGGACGTTATGTACTTATTCTTGTTTACTGAAGACTAGTAGATAATATACAAGGTAGGTTGAAATGGCTATGCTATTGAAATGCTCATGGGCATTTTCTCTGTGAGGGATCCGCAGCTTTCACCAGATTCTCAAATCGCTTATCCTCCATCTCATCGTGTACAGCATACAGCATTACAGCGTTCCTGACACGCACGCGAGCTCCGACGATGATTGCATCTCAAGACTACGACAGCTTTCTTCAAGCCCTGCATAATATAGCTGAAGACGTTCGATATAGCAATGTCGGGAAAAATTCGCAGTATCCCCATCGGAGGCGTTGAGTGTGGCAACACAAGTGTAGCAGCCCGTCTTCTGTTTCAAGTAGGTTGATAATTAAGTCGCATATATGCGCGTCTCTTCAGATATCTATTGCGTTAAGTTAGGTTGCAAACTAGGTTATAGACAGACAGCCAGCCAGCCAGCCAGCCAGCCGGTCACACAGACGGATAGATAAACATACAAACATGCAGGCACGCAAACACAGACTCAGACAGGCAGAGAGAAAACAGATAGACAGACAGGCAGGCAGGCAGACGGACGGACGGACAGACGGACGAAAGGACGGACGGACGGACGGACCGACAGACCGAACAAACGAACGAACGAACACATGAACGACCGAACGAACGAATGAACGAACGAATGAACGAACGAACGAACGAACGAACGAACGAACGAACGAACGAACGAGTGAACGACCGGTCGACATACAAACATACATACAGACACGTGGACAGACTAGACCGATGAATGTAGGAGCGTGCTAGGATAGCTTTATGATTCACATCATATACCGGCATGAGAAAGCCCGCGTGCTTAACTCTGCCCATATACTGCCGCAGGCAGGCACCTCCGACCACTTATAGAACAAGTCCTGGCTCCTAGACAACATTACTGATCCATACACACCATCAGGACATGACACAGGAGTCGAGGGAACACTACCCACCCACCGCTCACATCATGTCCCCCCATGTCTGTACCAATGTCGAGCAAATTCACACAATTTCAGGCAATTTCAGGTCAATATACCAAACACGTTGTCAGGGTACGTGTACTGATGATGACGATATAAAAAATATATACTTTGAAATCAGAGGTTGTTAATTAGAAAATGGGTAATTAAAAAGGTTGTTAATTAGAAAATGGGTAAACCTGAATGAACATGCCACGTTTTAGACACATAAATACAAAGACACGCACACGCCCGCAGGCGCGTTCATATATGAAGGTTATCCGTTTCATACGCACAACCTTGGACCTCAAAGTATATATTTCTCCATCGAGCACCATCTCAATCTCCATCAACGTCGCCAAGAAACATTAAGTGTAAGTCCGGCCCGGGTCAGGCCGCAACCTTATGCGCTTACACTTACAGTAACGTCAGTGTAAGTAACGTCAGTGTAAACACACTAAGCCGCATCAAGCTACACTGATGCACCGGTTTACACGGACATATCGGGCCGCCCAAATGAGCGCTACTACACCGGCACAGGTGTGTAAATATCTCCCGAGGGTAGGTGATTGTTTTCGAAACCTTATTCCTTTAGAGCCGCGCGGTGCTTTTAGATTCTTACAGAGTTTTAGATTCTTACAGAGTTGTAGATTCTTAGTGTTTTAGATTCTTACAGAGTTTTAGATTCTTACAGAGTTGTAGATTCCTCCAGAGTTGTAGATTCTTACAGAGTTGTAGATTCTTAGTGTTTTAGATTCTTACCGAGTTGTAGATTCTTACAGAGTTGTAGATTCTTAGTGTTTTATATTCTTACAGAGTTTTAGATTCTTAGTGTTTTATATTCTTAGTGTTTTAGATTCTTAGTGTTTTAGAGCTCATACGCGATTGATTAACCAGCAAGTTCATTTCCTTTTATCATTTTTCCCCTTTTTAGTCAACTGTAACACATGCAACGCGTTGTTGAATCTAATTTTAGAACTTGAAAGACAGACTGATAACAACTACTAGAGTAACTTCAAATGCAAATTAACATCCTCTAACAGTGAGAACATTGATATAATTTCCGTACATCACTCACGAAACATACCTATGGGAGCTATGGGAATATTAACGATCTCTGCTAATATAAGGGGTTTGGAGATATCCCCAACTGCACTCTTTCACGACAAGATTTCACTAGACAACGAACAACTAGATTAATGATTAACCGTCATAATGCATCAGCACATAAGCGGACATTCTAAAGGAGACTGTGAGGTAACGAGCTGAAACCCAGGGGACGCTGTGTCAGAAACAAAATTACTCCTAACATTAGTCTTAACATTTCAACAATTTCTTGCATACCGTACCAACCGCGCTTCTACCAACGGTCTGTGAGAGAAATATAATGTTAAGACTAATGTTGAGACTAATTTTATTTCTAACAACGGAGACCAAGGATCGCACAACTTCATAGTACCCATGAAGGACCGTGATGAAATAAGTGTCCAAAACGGAGCAGCAGCGTGGGTTGGGGTGGGGCACGCAAGTGACAACGAACGGTAACGGGAAGGTACTTGTAATCCACTATGTATTATTAGTTCTTGTTATAATTTAATACGCAGAGACATGACGAATTAGAAACACGACATTAGAAGTAAGCAGAAGAGAGAGAGCGCGCGCAAGAGAGAGAGGCAATAGAGACAGTCTGCTCTCTCACCGATCACGCCTGCCCTGCCGTGCGGCACAATCAAGACAATCAATCAAAAAATCGCTACAAACAGCTTCTAGCGATCTCTCCTCGCAGAAAATCGGAGCAAAAGTTCAGTCGGCGTAGATGATATCAAGAGTAGATAAATAGTTATTTATCTACTCTTGATGATATATATATATACGCGGGAGTGAGATGAGATGCAATGCATGACAGCTTCACACGACGAGGACCACGCTCTCCCAGCCATAGCTCTGTTAGATCTGCAGCGCGTAGATGTGCACGTGTTCACCGCGTGGTCCACGTGCTGCCACCGACCAATCACGGACCGAAATCCTTTGTTAATCAGATACGAAAATCTAACAAAACCAGATCGAAGCAGAGAGCCAGCACTTAATAGAGAGCCAGAACTTGAGAGAGAGCCAGAACTAGATAGAGAACCAGAACTATATAGAGAACCAGAACTTGAGAGAGAACCAAAACTTGAGAGAGAGCCAGAACCAGTCCCTGATTCATCTGTGGCAACCATCTGTTCAACATGGCAACATGCTGCACATATAGGAAGGGGTATGCCCGTCTCCTGACATGCCGCCGACAACGTTGCCAAAGAAAGCGACCGTGTACGTTAATGAACCTAGATCCAGTGTGATCCCGCCCCCAATCATCCACCACCAGCACCTCTCCACTCCAGTAAAGCTAAAGTAACGTAAGTAAGCTTCCTAGGACCAACCGCAATTTTTGAATTCATGTGATTCATACGCAGCGAAGGGTATATGGATTACCTAGCTGCTAAAGTCAAGTAAGTAAAGTAAAGTAAGTCAGCAAAATAAGTAAAGTAATGTAACTCTTCTTCTTCTCGGGTCACTACACTACACCCGACCTAGCCACGGCAGCACACATGACCTGGCGCGGTGGTTGAAAACCTCGAGGTCTCTAGGTCTACAAGGGCTCTGGTACTAGGGGGCATTCCAGGAGATGTAAGTTGCTTGCTAAGACTTGACTCACGTTCAACGGCAATTTTGACATTCATGTGATTCATACGCAGCGAAGGGTAAGACTGATTACCTAGCTGATGACGTAAATCTGCTCGTCAGACAGGATGACGGTAGTGTGACGTCACTGCAATGTGTTTACTGATGAGATCAGCAGTAAGAAGCGTGGACCGTCGGTAGATGTCGCCACCTACCGTTTACAGACGCCACACGCGTACGGGTCCCCCAACAACTGGGTGACATTATTGGAGATATATTACATTATCGGGATATTATGTAATAACAATAATAACTTGGGGCTACGCGACGCGGTAACCTAGCTCTACCAGTGTAGCCTCTTCGCTCCTGTTACCGGGCTGTGCTCGTGCTACCCGAATCCACGCCCTGCATCTATACCCAGCTTAGCGTGCTGCACGGGAGTGATTAGAGAGTTCCACTTACTTGTGCACACACGCACACACACGCACGCACGCACGCACACACACACACACACTCAAACACTCAAACACACACACACACACACTCAACGCCCCCTCGCCGGCCACGCACCGCTCCGACCGCACGCCGCACAGCACACACGCACGCACGCAGAACGAGAGAGAGAGAGAGAGAGGAGAGAGAGAGAGAGAGAAGACAGAGAGAGCGAGAGCGAGAGGAGAGAAGAGGTTGGATTGATTGAGGAGAGAGGAGAGAGAAAGGGCGGACGAGGAGTGAAGAAGGAGAGAGAGAGAAAGGAGGAGAGAGAGACAGGAGAGGAGCGCGAGAGAGAGAGGGAGAGAGAGAGAGAGAGAGAGAGGACGACGAGACGACGCTGCCGGCGCGGAAGAGGGGAGAGAGAGAGATAGAGAGAGAGAGAGAGATCGGAGAATGATGAGTAGAGAGAGAGGTAGAGAGAGAGAGAGAGACGAGAGAGATGATGAGAGAGAGTAAGACGGGCTAATAAATTATTTCTACATATTTCGACGATGACGCCTCCGTGTAATAAATAGTACCACGTGCGCTAACAATGATTCTTCAATGAGCAGGGCAACAACAAAAACTCAATTTCTTTTTTTTAGGTGATTAGCTGAGAAATTCTTTGCGGTTATACACTATACAGGACACACACACACGCTGCGCGCACGCACACGCGCACACACACACACCACACTGCGCGCGCACACACACACACCACACAACACACGCGCGGCACACACCACACGCGCGCACGCACGAATGCAACGCCTCCACGCACACCCTACGCGGCACACACACGCGCGCATACACACACACCCGCGCGCGCGGCACACACACACGCGCGCGCGCACACACACACACACACGACGCGCGCAGACACACGGCTGCGCGCACTTACACACACACGGCGCGCACTCACACACCACGCGCGCACGCACGACATATTTGGAACCACTCACATGTCGCGTACACGTTCGGTGACCGTTGGTGGCCATGTGCATATCTTCAATGCCCACCATCACATGATCCTATGAACTGCTAAACGATGATCAGAAAGAAACAAATATATAGTTAAAACGTCACGCCTTACATTCCACCAGTATCCGCACGCACGCACGCACGCACGCAGCCACGCACGGCAGCGCACGCACGCACGCCACCAACGCACGCACGCACGCACGCACGCCCAAGCACGCACGCACGCCGCACGCACGCACGCCTACGCACGCAGCGCAACGCACGCACGCACGGACAAGCCGAGTAAACAACATCACGAAAACACATTGCAGTTAGCCATTCTAATTCACTTACGAATAACTAAGGATTAATGTGAGGTTAGGAATATACGGATATATTAAGTAGACGATTGCAGGGTACAATAGCAATGTGTAGTTCAGGGATAATAATTCTCTGTACACTAGGGCATGGTGAAGTCGCCACCTGCCCTCACCTAGGCTCACGCATTGATAAATTTCGATGAATCCCCGTTATAGCTACAACAAACATTCGAATTAACGTATAAGGCGGGACTTTGACTTTTTGACAATTCGACAATTTCTTTGAACTTGTTCTAAAATTAATGATACTTATTCATCTTGGCCGGTGTGTGTGTTGTGTGTGTGTGTGTTGTGTGTTGGTGTGTGTGCGTGCGTTTGCGCTGCCGTCGGTGGGCGTTGGTCCGCCGTGCGTTATGATACTCGGAGCACATAGAAAACGTTGGTCTAGCTAACCAGCCAGCCTTGAAACTCTAGTTAAGAAACCATCCATTCAGTTGCTTCCGATACCAGACTCACCGGAAAGTCCAACCCCAATACAGTCAACTGATCCGCAAATGGAGTAAGTCGAGAGTAGCGGACGCGATCTTAACGTCAGATGGTTCGATGCTTGAGATTAAATAACGTAGGCAGCAATGCGGTTTAAAGGCACAATGCGCACCAAAACGCTAATTTCTACAGTACTAGACTAGCAATACTTCGTGGCAATGCATAATCACACTACCTTAATGACAAAATAAACTCTGACGCTTCCTCCCATTTGACTGCACGTTTCCCAACAAGAAAGAGGTGCGAAAATCAGGTAATCAGGGCGCCAACGCTAACTTGTTTCCAAACAACAAAACAATCGACTTGGTTTGTGCGTGACGTCACATGTTGTACAGGGTGTTAGTAAGAATTGTTTTGTCCCCGGTAAACTGTTTGCTAGTGGCGCAGTCGTTAATGAGAGGACGCCGGGAAAGGTAGGTTGTGCAAACGAAACAAGCCAAAACGTAGACGTGCAGCCCGTAATAAACGTGAAAACTAACGTATTGATTTTAGGCTTGATATCGCCCACAGCGGCGAACATTGCGCTAGCGCGTATGCAAGCGAATAACGCACACGGGGCCGTAGAAAATCTTTGCTACACCCGTGGACGTTTGCCTGGCAGAGCAACGAAACGTCGTCAACAAGCATCGGCAAATTTGAAAAACAGTGGACGGTATTTTCAAATACCTTTTATAAGGACACACGCGCATGTTGAAATGCGAGGAACTAGAGTTTATTTTGTCATAAGTAGTCGTGATTATGCATGCACCGAAGACGTATATTGCTAGTCTAGTACTTTGTAAGAAATTTAGCGTTTTGGTGCGCATTTGTGAGCGTTTAATAGAACCTTATTAACCGTAAGTGTTGATATTTTACATAAACTGAGCCAAAGCGCAACGAAATCTTGTAATTAACACAAACCAACGACTATAGAAATCACAAACAGAAATACGTCATAATATGAATATAAAACAGAATCGGCAGGACTAATAGAACAAAAGGACTACAACGAATAGAAATTACCAGCCTAAGAAATTTGTAGACCGAATTTCGAGTGAATATCCATCGGACCGGTAGGACAGACAGGATGGCCATGCCGACTACATCGAACTATCGCTACTAAGAGTTAGCACAGACATGATTTTATACGTTTACGCATATAACGTAACGACCGCTGATCACTCCAGTCTCCTGCTCCCTCAAACTAGGCGACATCTACAAGCTGCGTGTTAATTGCGGCGGAGTTAAGTTAGATGATGTCCGTGCATTTGTGTTTATCCAATTATTCCGCTCAGACGGGGGTCAGAAAACGGATGATTTATAACATTCAAAAAATCACCACATCGCCACGCTTAAATAGGCCAACGAACTAAGCGAGAAAGAAAGGAGGGTGCACTGGTCCTCCACAGTCCACAATAACGCGCTACCCGCCCCCAACAACAAGCCCCCACAACAAAACCGCCCAAGAACGTCCCCAAACAACCCTTTAAACGTCCACAACCAAACCCCAAACGTCCCCACAACCAACTCTAATCCACCAAACTCTACATCACGCGTTGGTCCCCTTTCCCGCTATTATTACTATCATCACTGCCCCATAGCTACAACGTTACGTTTGTCTCGCTTCGCACATACGTGGGCTTACGTAAAACAGTCGGCAGAGTCGGGTCGGGTAGCGACCCACCGTCTCAGCCTCAATACTATACCCAAGCGAGTGGAAGGCAAAATATTAGAGAATCGATGAATAAAAAAAAAGGTTAGAAAGAGTCCAGTTGTATTGCCCGGGGGTCGTTACCGCAGTTATTCGCGTGTGGGTACATAAAATAAATCGTGTACCTGCTCAGCAGTTCTCTACCCGCTAAACAAGAACAGGTAGTAATACACAAAAGCACAACAATCCGCCATCCCAACCTACATTTAAAACAGCCTCTTTCTTCAAGCAAGAAGAAAACGCGGCATTTTAGAGACGTAGCATACTACTGGGTGTAATAACTGGATCAGTGCGCCTAGCGCAGGGAACAGGAACCCAGCGATGAGATCACACTAGCGAATACAAACAACTACGTCAGGTTCACTTCGATATAAATATCGCTCCGTGATCTGTGAATACATTCCGGCTCACGACGCAGCGACGGGGTGGATTGGTTAAGTAACTATAGGTACTCAACCACTGTCGTAGCACAGACACTTGCGAATCGCTGTACACAAACCTATCGAAAATATAGCCAGACCTATATCAAGAGCGTATAATACTAGCGCCACATACATGTATTATTTCTTTAGTTCTTGGACATATATTTATAATACTAGGTTAATTAATATAGACTCTACATTCTTGTTGTTTTGCCCAGCGGCGTGGTTGAGGATTGTACCTGCATGTGTGTTGCAGACGAGGGATTTGACGCCATTTAACAGGAAACTCTCGGCAATAATAGTAGCGAAAGAATGTATTTAGAAACATTAACGGACTTTGGCAGTAACATACATTTCGTGTTTATTCACTATCATTTATTATTGAACGTTCCAAGTCGGTCGATAGCAACCTTTTCACTCAAGCCTATCCTCCACCTCTTCCGTGTACAGGCAAGTGTTTAACCCATCTGGGGCCGTTCCGCCTGGCATGGCTTTAACGCGTCCGTAAACCAGGCGCATAAAAATGAATTCGAATTTATTTCGCTAGCTTTTTTTTAGCTTTTATTCTTTTGTCTATGTTTACAGGACGTTATGTACTTTTTCTTGTTTACTTGAAGACTAGCTAGATAATATACAAGGGTTTAGGTTGAAATGGCTATGCCCCTATTGAAAATGTCGTGGGGCATTTTCTCTTGTGAGGGATCCGCCAGACTTTCACAGATTCTCAAATCGCTTATCCTCCAATCTCATCGATGTACAGCCTACAGCATTACGCCGTTCACTGACACAGCCACGGCGAGCTCGATCGATTGATTTGCATCTCAAGACTTACGAAGCTTTCTTCAAAGCCTGCATTAATATAGCTGAAGACGTTCGATATACGCAACTGTTCGGCGGAAAAATTCGCAGTATCCCCATCGGAGGCGTGAGTGTGGCAACCAAAGCTGTAGCAGCCGTCTTCTGTTTCCAGTAGGTTGATGAATTGAAGTCGCATATATGCGCGTCTCTACAGATATTATTGCGTTAAGTTAGGTCGCCATAACTCAGGTTTATAGACAGACAGCCAGCAGCCGAGCCAGGGCCGCGTCACACAAGACGGATAGATTAATACAAACATGCAGGCACGCAAAGCACAGACTTCAGATCCAGGCAGAGAGAAAACAGAATAGACAGGACAGGCAGGCAAGGCCGACGGACGGACGCCGGAACAGAACGGACGAAAGGACGGACGGACGACGGAACCGACAACAGACCGCGAAACGAACGAACGAAACACATGACGACCGAACGAGAATGATACGACGATTGAACGAACGACCGAACGAACGAACGAACGACCACGAACCGAGTGACGACCGGTCGGACATGTACACAACATAGCATACACAGACACGTGGCACAGGACCTGACGATGGAAATGTTAGGAGCGTGTAGGATAGCCTTATGATTCACATCAGTATACGAGCATGAGAAGAGCCCCGCGGCTGCTTAACTCTGCCATATACTGCCGCAGGCAGGCACCTCCGACCACTTATAGAACAAGGTTATCTTTGTT